CTCAGGCCTCCCATGAATATTCCATATACATTCATATATGTACAAAAGACTGCCCATTAAATCGTGCACAAATTCTCACACTCGAAAAATAAAAGATCGTAATGAAGACATGTAAAAAATTGATTACCCGAGAAGGAACACGTACGATAATCATAACTCTGAGCTCCCTTTTTACACTTTTTTCCCCTCAACTCTTTTTTGTATTCTTTATTCTTTGAACCAAGTGCAGTGCTGCACTGCATCCAAAGGCCTAATTGCATCACGTTTTTAGAGCCGACAGAATATTACACAATTGTGAAATGGCCAGGAGACAGAGTTGAGGAAAGGCAGGGCCATTAGTTTCCATGATTTCCACACGTGAATCGAGATCTAAGCCCTGAACTGACTCTCGGTTTCCGACTGTGTTTTTTCTGTATCTCAGGCTTTGTTTGGATCCGTATCTGACGGGTTGACGGAACGCCTGACTGGCAGGTTTTGTCTTTGTGCATTTACCTTAATGAACGCCAAGACATTGGACTGTGACAATAATAACAATTTCCGAACATATCAAAAGATAGCAAAGATTTAATTTTCCTAGCCCAGATGGAAACGGGTTCTAAAAGGAAAATAAGAAAATGCAATATGTTGTTCGGATGTTAGTAAGAGAAATTATTAATAAAGGAAATAAGCAGGCCTGTGAAAGTTATAAAAAAAGTAGTACAAAAAACCTGACTTGTTTAAAGAAATTGAATTATCAAGGATTTAAATAATGTACATTTTATGTATCTTAACCTTAATCTTTAGCATTTTAAATCCATTAATATTTCAGGTAATTTTCTTAAAGTAAAGTCTAGATCTTTGCTTACTTAAAACCCCTTGAAGTCTACTAATTTTACAGGTAAAGATCTCATTTAAATCCCCTACTTAGTTAAGAAGTGCAACTATGTTTCGGCAATTTACCTGCCGGCTGCGGGGGATTTATGCAACTTCTTGGCAAAAGTGTCAGGCGCATCGAAGCGTTGCATCCTCCTCCGTTGCTGTTGCAGCAGCAACATGTGGCAACAGTCGCGGCACGCAATCTGCAGCAGCCAGATTTGGCCAAAAAGAGCGACTCGACTTGGCTGCGTTTGACACACATTTCCCAACTCCCTTTTTGCCAACTAAATGCCGGCATTTAGACGCCGAAAAAAAAAAAAACAAAAACGGATGCACATTTCCGGTGCTACTCGCATTTCGTGACAAAGCAAACTCAGAATCCACGCCCACAAAGCTGACCAAGTCAGCCGAAGCTATAAATCTATGTATATAATAGTATATAGTTGCAGTTGGATCTGAATCCAAACCTAAGTCCAGCTTGGAGCCCCAGTTTGGAGCTTGGCCAAGTGCCGCCCGCGCGACAAACGTAATTGACCAAAAATGCAACGCTTGGCTGAACCCTCCCCAGAGAACAGTCAGCAAAGCAGGGAATTGGGATGATTTCGAAAGGGATTCGACTAAGAAATATCCTATAAAATTTAATAAAAATAACACCATTTAATTTATTGTAAATTATAATGCACCAATAACTAATTTTGATGTCTAAAGTGTCTCGACTTAGTTACAAAGTTATAATGTGACTATGTGCATTGTTTAAATTCTGACTATAGTCAAGACGGAGAAATAGTAAGTTATATGCCCTATTCAATACCCTATTTTTTAGTATATATACCCCACCTTACAGGGCATCATAACTACAGCTTTTCACATTTGTTAACTGGCTTTTTGTTTTTTCGCATGCACATTTATTTGGCTTTGGCCCGTCCAGTTTCTGGTGGGTGATGTTGGGTTATGGCCATAGTTAGAGTGGGTGATTCATGCGAGTCAGGTTCTATGGCCATTACCATTACCATTCCCATTCCTATTCCCATTTCCATTGCCATATATTGTGAGGAGAACAAAGAGCGATCCGATCTGAACCAGCTGCAGTCTCTGACGATTGTGGGTTGAAGTTCGCCAGCGGCTGTTGAACTCAGCAAAGCCAAAGTCGAAGTCGTAGCCGAGCCAAGATCTGGAAAATAATTATTTTTTTATCGGGTGTTAAGCCAACGCAATGCAGCCACCAGTTGGTTAATTAATTCATTAGCGATTGGGTCATAAAACGAGACAATTGCCACATCTGGATGGGATGACTGGCTCTTGGTGGAGTCTTAGGTGTCGTCCAGCTGCTGCTTTGGGCCATCTCCCTCTAGGAGGACACACTTTTTATGGCCATCCAATGATTACGTGGGCAGACATCCCCCACTCCTCTGGCTCCTCTTGCAATTAATAAAACGCACGTACGTATAGAGAGACGTCTTCTGTTTTCTCGCTTATTTACTTTTTATTATTATTATTTCTTATACGAACGGACAAAAACAAGTCGTTAAAGCTTACCGCAGATGCCGATGCTGTAATAATATTGTATGCAAATCCCTTCCCAGCCTCCATTTCCCCTAGCGAAATCGTCGGCATTGATATAAAGTTTCAATTTACGGCTCATATATCATAACTTGGCCAGCAAGCAGGCGGGGGTCGTACTTATGGGGCTTATTAACTCGTAAAAATGCGCCTGTCACCGATCTTTCAGTTACAAATGTTGTCGGGATGCTGACTGCTGGCTGAACCTTGAATGCACGCCAGCGATCAGGCGAAATCCTATATAGATAAGGCATCATCTTCCACAGCTGAATTCCGATTTAATTAGGCGAGGGGTTTTCCATTAATATGTACATTTATATGTATATTGCATTCAAAGGTATTTCAGGCTGCTTAAGTTTTTACATAACTTGTAAGAAGATAACTTAGTTTTATTTTCTTATTTTCATATAACCTAAGGTATGGCTATTTTTTTAGATTTAAGAATTATTGTTTTTGTTTAATACAAAACTTACGATTTTATGCATTTTCCTCTATATCTAACGATCGTTTGTATGGCAACTGAAACTGGAAAAGTTATAATATTTCTTCTTAACATTTTCCGATCGTTCCTATGGCATATATATATTTATGTATATATATATTCCACCGATTCGCCATGCTCCGACTTATATGCTAGTTAAATTATATAGAAGAATTTGTCCATCTTTGTCCATTGTTTCATTCAAATAGCTAAAATTTGATCCAAAACAAATCTCGCACATCTATGCATATGATTCCCAACTGGTTCTAACATCCCCGGAACGAAGTGACTTCTACCGGCGGAGTCTTAGAAATGTGTTGTTATAAAAGTTGCAAGTCATTGTTTATTAGTGTTCAAAGTTAGTAACTGATCATAGATACTTACTGGTCATAGATACTTACTGGTCATAGATACTTACTGATCATAGTTACTTACTAGTCATAGATACTTGCTGTTCAGAGTTACTTAATGCTTATAGTTACTTACTGCTTATAGGTAATTACTGATCATAGTTAATTAGTGCTCATATAATTTTGGTACTGAAGGGTACTTACTGCTCATAGTTACTACTGCTCATAGTTTACTGTTTCTCTGGCAAGTATTCCGATTATCATAACACTAAAAACCAAATTTTATAAAAATACAAGATAGCTTTGAATCAAATAAGATACAATTCTTTTGATAATATGTATATTCGCTGTCGTCTCAATGCTCCCTGGAAATAATGGCTATACAATCTTTGTGACGGAACATTAAGCGCAACTCTAAATTGCAATTTTTAAAGCTTTATTTTAAGTTTTAACCATTTCCGGCGATGCACAGGTTTTTATGCGCCACCTGGCGGCCCATACTTACTCCCGCTTTTGACCTTAACATGATTTTTTACCGAAATTGGCAGCAACTAAATCAAAATTGCTGAACAAAAACAAAAAATAAACCATAAAGACTCAACGAAGCTAACGCAAAAGCCAAATCAAAAGCAAAAGCAATGGCAAAGGCAAAGTTTCTTATCAAACGAAAACCGGAATCAAAATAAAAAGCCAAAGAGAGAGAGAGTGTGTGAACAAGAGAGCCTAGCGAGAGTGCAACTGAGAGAGTCAAAGCAACAAAACAGCTGAGCGACTTTCAGAGCCAACATTTACCAGCTGTTTCACTAGCCGAGCACTTGCTCGCCGAGCAGTGTTGCTAAGTCATGAATAGCTAGATTCTTAGCCAAAAAAAGCTAAAATAAGATAAAAATAAAAAATTGTCAGTTGGTTGCTTAAACGTAAGTTAAAGTTAACTTCACTAATTTAAGTAGTATTAGTAGTTTTTAGATAACTAATATTACCAAGTTTGGCTCCGAAAACAGCAATTTGTCGATTAAAAAACGCTATATCTAGTGGTAAAAGGCTAGAGTAATTCCAATAATGGCCGCCTCAAAATGAAACATTTAAATTTTTATAAAAACTAAATATATTGTAATAATAAAGCATTAAACAAATTGTTACTTGCTTATAATAAACCAATTTATCTTTAAAGTTAGTCTCGGAAAATTTTAATTTTTCTTCGGCATACATCTCAGTTTCAAATTTTTAACAAATAAATATTATATTTTTTCAGTTACGAAGGGGAATGGTAATGAAATTTACATTAATATAAACTAATTGTAGTAATTAATTTAAATATATATATTTTTGTTTGTCAAAGACAGAACAATAACACAGGCAGTGGATTAACCTTTTTCCTTATTAATTGAAAAATATGTAGATATATCATTTATGTAAGTAAACAAACTCTTTAAGTCTTAAAAGACAGATTGCATTTTTAGTTTATTCGTAAAATAATTAATAAATGTATTTTCTTATTATACAATTTCAAATTGGCTAGGTCTGGCTAGGATAAAGCTAAGCTGCCAACACTGCTGCAGCGGTTGTTGGGGCTGAGTCGTCCGGTGAAACCTGCTGATAATTCAGTTGGAAAATAAAACTCGCGCGAGCGGACGTGGAAACGGATAACGCAAAAGCGAACAAGTGAATAGGAGAAGAAATATATTAATTGCGATTAAAAGAGACGTACAGAGATTTCAACAATAATGAAATTAAATTTGGAAAATACATACATATATCGATACCAAGAAGTGCGCGTGACTTAAACGATCTTAATCAGTGTTGTGAAATTCCATGAAGAAGCTAAGCCGCAAAGCAGAGTCCCCGAAAACATAACGGCAAATGCGAAAAGTGCAGGAAAACGTGACCACCAATAATAATTCTCGAGCATAATTTTTCGTATTTCGTGTGTTCTTTTTTGTTTCGTTACCCCATCGTCGCGCGTTTGCCTTGTGTTTTGTGTTAAATGTAGTCAGCCAACAAACAAATATTCGATAATTCTGTGCGGCATTAATATTGCCTTTAGTTCCATTTACATTCCGATTGTGTTTAGTTCAAAAACCAAAACCAGAAAAAAATAGTAAACCAGATACAAAAGAAAAGCAGAAAATACTGCAAAAAACAAGCAAGAATTGTGAAATTCGTAGGTTAAAACGAAGGGCGCCTCGAGTGCAAATCAATTATATGTGTCCAAGTGCTAAGACGCGCCAAGAATCCGCTAGCCAAGATGACGGAGCACCAGGCCTCCGAGCCGGAGTCCGCGCCCGTGCCCCCGTCCAAGTTCAAGGACTCGGAGGAGGGCTTCCTCTCCACCTCGCCGGACAGCGCCAATGGCGATGCCCCCAAGGTGGCAACCAAGAATGCCGTATCCCTTGGGCAACATCATAGTGATTCCGAAATGATGCCGGGCCACCACCTGGTCCGCCTGGCCTTCCACCAGTGCTCCTGCCCGGAGCAGTGCGTCACCCTCAACAACATTCTGGACTCGTTCAAGGCTCCACTGTCCGAGGACCAGGCCTGGGCCCTCATCCACCAGTTCACCACGCTCTACTACAAAGTGGCCATCCAGGCGCACAGCTGCCGTCCGGCGGACTACGAGTCCGGACTGCCCGCCAGCTTTGAGCTACACTTCCATCGCGACGGCAGCGTGCACTTCTCTGGCAAGGAGCGTCTGCCTCCGCCTGGGGATCAGCAGAGCGCGGAGCGGACCAAGGAGCACAATCCGGAATTAGACATTTCCTCGCGGGACCAGCTGGACCACAGCGCCAGCAGCAGCACAACCACAAGCAACAGCACCAACGGCGGAGACGGCAGCGCCATTGTCATCAATCGAGGTAAGTCAACAAATCGTTTGAAATATCATATTCATAGAGGTTTACAATATTATTGGAATTTCTTGGGATTGTATACATTGCCTGTAAAATTTTATTTCAACATAACATTTACTAGAATATAGTTTTTCTTAAAAAAAACATACAAAGTAAAGGGGTTAGTTCATTTTTTCATTCTATAAACACATTTTCTTATCAAGGCAATTGCCTTGTACATACCCCTTAATCTATAGGATCTGTATATAAACGGAAACGCTAATTAGAACCATACAGAACATACATACATATATAAAGCAAGTGATTTGATTTTTGATAACGTAAGGAACTACTAACCTTAAATGACATTTTATGTGATTTTAGTGACGCTGACAAGTTACCTATTTCGAGTGCAATTTATTCAGTTGAATGGGTTTAAATTTGAGTACTTTTTAGGGGAAGGTAGCTCCCCAAAGAAATGCTGTATTTTATTTTAGTTTTATTTTTCTTTATTTCAAACTGTCAGAGGTCAGTTGGGTGTCGACTTCAGATGCGGAACTGTAGCAATGTGATGAAAACTGGGGCTGTGATTAGCTGGGCCGGAAAACCGGTTAAAGTGATGCCTTTCCGGATGGGGACGCGGCTCTTTGTCTTTTTTCGGCAAACGCTTTCATTTTCAGTTAATAAGCCGCAGTTAACTTCTTTCTTTCTTTCGTTTCTGTCTTGACTGGCCTTTTATTTTGTCGGCCAGGCATTTGTGCCGTGATGTGCGTTTCCGTGTGCCATCCATCTGACTATTGGCATCGGAATCCCCTCGCTTTCCAAACAAACAACCCACACTATCCAACTATCCAACTGATGATGACCTCTGCATTTAAGTTATGCAGCCAGCTTTGATTGAGGTTTTTCTCCTTCTCACTTCTGTCTGATTGCGTGCTGGCTTTTGGGAAAGTGTAAACGGCGACTCCCATGAAGAAGAAGGTCCCATCCCATCCCATTCCATCTCAGCACCCAACGTACCCAGTATTTTTCACTTTCTTTTGTGGCTTTTTAGTTGCACAGCAAGAAAATGCACATCATTTCCTTAATGTTTTCATGATGGCAAGCAGAAATTATAGAGTTGCAAAATGGAAACAAAAAAGAGTTATATAAGAAATGAAAAGAATTACTAAACTTAAAAAATAATAAATATTTACATGAAATATATCTTGTACGTACTTTGTATAAGTTTTTCGTGAAGAAGAACCATTTCTTTCTTTGTTCTTTTTCGTTTTTCTTTCACATTAATCTGCAGAAAATTACAGAATTTTCTCCCAGTGCTGAACTTATAGAGTGTGTTTCCTAGACCCACAACTCCCTTCTTCATCTTCTGTAATTGATGGGGGGATATATATTTTGTCTCCAGATCTACGGATCTACAGAACGTGTCTCAGGTTGTCTGCCAGCTAATTGTTTAATCATTCGTCCGGGGAGACTGTCAAAATACAGGTCGGTAATCTATCGGCTTTTAGATAAGCCACGTTAATTGGAAAATGCGTTTTCTGTGAGTGGGCTGTGCGATGGGATCTTGAATCTCCTAGGTGGCCCTTTCAATGTGACTCACAATCTCTTGGGCTGCAGAGCATTAACTGCATTCTACTGCATTTTTATACAGACATTCTGAGCGATGTCTGAGAGGTTTCTCTAGCTCTCTATTTGGCCAGGCCAACTCTGTTTATAGCCAGACTTTATGTATTGGCAAGGCCAATTAGTTGATTCTTATAAGCAATTAGCCGGGTACATGGGTATTCTTAAGGGCACACAGATACAGGAAGTTGCTTGGAGATATTAATTAAATTGTGTAGCTCGAAGGTGAAGGAACTATTAAGCAAGTAAATGCTGTTACTAGAGAATGTGCCATGAAATATTCCTATAAAAATTATATTACACCGCCCTTTTTGGGAATATTTATGGCATTTACAATTCGCTAAGCATTCACTTTTGGAATCTAAAACATATTTAACTTTTGTTATGATTTTAATTTGTAATTAATAATCTCAAGGTTATATTTATATGTTAGAAACTTAATGAAATGCAAATTACAGCTATTATTTTGGTGGCATAAATGTTAAATAAGTATATTATTTAGTTCTAGGTTTAAAGAACCTCTTGGCTTTATTATTCAAGCATAACTTTGGCCTAACCTTTGTTTATATTTATCATTCGAGGCTTTCTTCGGGGCAAACAGAGTTCACCTTGTAACACCTTAATTGCTGCTAATTTAGAAGCTTAAATCAAAGCCATTTGGTGAGAGATATCAAAAGGGTTTCCTTTTATCCCAGACAAGAATAGAACCGCCGGCAGCGGCAATTAGTCTGCTCAAACAAGTTATTACCACCGGGAGATGCCCATCATTAGAACCTAGCACCTTCTAATGGTTTTTGTTCGTTTGCGCTTCTGTTTTATCCAAACTAAAAATCAATGGGGGGAAATATTGTATTTTTCGCAGGTTACATTTTCAGACAGGTTGGGGATTGGGGCTTTGAACTTGCCGCCGCCTCTTAATTCCGATTTCCGCCGGTCTCGAGACTGAAAATCGCGCTCCATCGTCTCCTGATAACCGCATCGCCGGGCACAGCGAATCATTGATTGTGTCGGTCTTCCAAAGGCAAGTCTTCCCTTGGAACTCTCGGCTTCCCTCGGGACCCCCAACCAATGAACTGCAGACCATGAAAATCGGAGGCGTGGGAGATGGCAGCAATATTGTTGGGAAAACGTCGACGGCGCCGTCGGGTCGCCGCGCCCTCTGGCGCCTCGATTAGGCTCGCAGAAAACTCAACCAGAGTTTTCCACATTTTCACTGGCTTTTGGTAGAAATTGGCGCTTGAATCTGTCAACACACAAACTCGCCATTACGTTTTTCACCAGGCACACAGAAATTGTTGCAAGATGGAGCTGAAAAGCGTGAGCAGGTGTTTTTGGGGTGGTGAAAATTTTCCGCTGGAAAATCTGCCCACGAAGGGGGAGCCTTTTCACTTCAAGGTCATGGGTCATGCGCAGTTCTAGGGAATCGGAAATGGGAAAACGATGGAAAATGGTGGAAAATGTTGTGGTAGGTTCTCTCTCTGTCTTTCTCTTGGCCAGCTGTTGATTGTCTTTGACTTGTGTGTTTTTCCTGAGTTTGTTTTCGTTGAGTTTTCTTTGCTTTTGGGAAACCATCATAGCATTTAATTTTGTTCTTCCGTTTTTTGTAACAAATTTCACCTGGATTAATCAAAGAGATCTTACCTCTTTCTTCACCCGAATCTACCTTTGCCTCGTCACTTGCCCGGATGGGTGATGATATTTCATTTTCATGTCTCTATGACTTTCTTGTTTTCACTGCCACAAAATTACAGACAAAACAAACAACTGACCGCTCAACTGGTTTAATGTTTAAATAATTACACTAAAAAATTACACAAACAAAATGCCCCGAAACTATGAAAACCCAAACAAAAATTATAACGAAACTAAAGCTCAGCAGCAGCAAATTGGTACATTTTTTGTTGTCCGTTTTTTATAGTTTTTCTTTTTTTGTTTTTTTGTTTAAAAAGAAAGGAAAGAAAACGGTCTGGCAGTTGGAAGTATCTTTAATTGGTCTGGGGCCAATTGTATCTAATTTCTGGTTAGCCGATGCTTATCTCTAGTAAGAGCTTTTTGGGTGGAGTCTAAATGAAGAGTTACCAAATGATAATTGTAATGGGCCGCCTATTTATTAGCCAGCTTTGAATCGGCTCAATTAGCCGGATGCTATGGGAGCACTTTTTTCTTTCAAATGAATCAGGCATTAGAGGGGTTTTGGGTAATAAGTGCAATTTATTTTAAGGTCAACGATTTCTAACCTGAAGTTAGTTTGATTAAGAGGGGTTAAAAATACTTAAAAATTAGGATAATTTGAAGTAATAATTCTTTTAAATATCAGGCTTAAATTGACAGTTTCTTTAGTATTATTATAATTGTTTTGAGGCCTCCCTAAACTCATCTTTCTTTCAGTAAATTTAGTTAAATGTGAGTTATTTCTTTTTTAAGAAATGAAATTTAAACTAAATTCATAATAATAATAGTTTCATAATTCCTCATTTATAGGGGGAAAACGAACACTAATTTTATAGCATTCTTATTTATTATTCCTTAAAATATCGACTTTTAATATCATATTATTGTATCATAATTATTTTACTATTCCCTGTAAAACCCTCTCAAAACTTAAGCCTCATTCCATTTCATTTCACAATTCCCCAAATATTTCGATTTAGCAATTCGTGTTAACTATGTATCCCACTCGAATTTTCTTGGAATCTGGAAGCATATATTATGTTTTATTTCAGATTAGGTAGCTCTTCGAAATGCATTTATTATGGGCAATATGCTGCAATAGTTTATGTTTTTTTGGAGACCCCACCTGAAGCTTTTGCCACGTGTTTGCCGAAACATATATCACTCTTTTTTTGACACATTATAGACCCAAATTTAATTGCCTACTATTGTTGTTGACGCTCCAGTTTAGTTTTTTTTTCTACAAAATTAATATAATAATTTTTTCATAATGACAACAAATGACATAAGAGCACGACGACGAACCTGAACCAAATTTGAGTGTTCCACATATAAAAAACAGACCCAAATGCGGTCTGCTATTTGTTGTATATATTTTTTCGGGCCTCTCCTAAACTTGTCCACCTGTGCAGTTTGCATTTGAGTTACGAAATCCGTGGCTTTGACTGCATTTTGAAATGGAAATACTTTTGTCGCCTTGGGATCAATGCAAGTCTGGGTCTGGGATTTTGAAAGTGCGTCGTCGTTGTCGTCTTTGTGGCTCAATAAATCACACGATAATCCAAATTGTGGCCGATCTTTTCAACCGTTTTGTTTGGATGACACTTGTCTTGCGAGTTTGTGTGGGGTCCATTGAGCTGACATATCGGGGTTTAAGCGATCCCAAGTGACCCTGAATCATCGGTTGTTATTTTTCTCTGAATTATAAATACATTTTGATGCAATTAAAC